CGAGCGAGCGAGAGAGAGAGAGAGAGAGAGAGAGAGAGAGAGAGAGAGAGAGAGAGAGAGAGAGAGAGAGAGAGAGAGAGAGAGAGAGAGAGAGTAGTCGGCAGAGATGTTGGTGCGGTTGTTGTTCACGAGTGTAGTGGCGTATGCGGGATATGCTGTGGGAACAGGAATGCCCGTCTGGTTGATCCAGCATTATCACGAGTGGAAGAGGAAGATAGAGGGAGGAGGAGGTGGTGGTAATAGGATAGACTTCGAAGAAGATTCTTGGAATGGCCGCAAGCATCGGGAAGTGGAGATCAGCAGCCTGGCATTGGAGGAATACTTAGGTCAGTTAGACCAAGAGCTGTCGGGGCATGCGGCGGAGGGAGTTGCAGCCGAAGAATCAGCAGCAGCAGGAGGAGGAAGAGGAGGAGGAGGAGGAGGAGGAGGAGGAGGAGGAGGTGGTGGTAATGCTATGACTGCAGAGAGGAGGAGGTGGTTAGAGCAGGAGAGAGAAAGAGTTCGATTGATATTGGAGGAGAGAGAGAAACGCCGTAGAGAGGAACTTGAACATGCCATTCAGACTGCTCTGCAGAAAGAGACGGAGAGGCAGAGAAGGAAAGAGAGAGAGTTGGAAAGGAGGAGGAGAGAGGAGTCCAAGAGGGAATTGGAACTAAGGATAGAGATAGAGAGTTTGAAGGAAAGACTGAGGCAGATTGAGAATGATCGAAGATCAGAGACGAGAAGTAATAAGAGGATTGAGCAGGTAGAGGAGAGGAGAGCGGTAGAGAGAGGAGGTATGGGAGCAAGAGACTCTATGGAGGAGGAAAGTCTAAGGACTTTGGAGAAGAAGCTGGAAGAGGAGTTGTGGAAAGTGGAGATAGAGAGGAGGAAGGTGGAGGGAGAGAGAGAGCAAATGGCGCTAGTTAGGGGAAGATTGGAAGAGGAAATGAGAGTAGAGCATGGAAAGAAGTCGGAGAGACTGGCTGTGGAGCGGGCCAAGATCGAAGAAGACATGGCTTTGCAAAGGAGAAGATGGGAGGAAGAGAGGAAGGTAGTGGAAATGGAGAAGCGCAAGCTGGATGCTGAAAAAAGGAGGCTTGAAGACGAGAGGGTCAGACTGTTTGAAGAGAGAGAGAGAGAGAAGCAAAGGCAGCAGCTTGAAGACAGGAGCTGGGAGAGCAGGAGACCTGACGTCCGAGGTGAAGGTGATGGCGGACCAGGGGAAGGTGGTGGGGATGGAGGAGGAGGAGGAGGAAGAGGAGAAGAAGGAGGAGGAAAGAACATAGACGGACTGCTGCAGAAGCAGCGAGCGCTGTCCATTACCAAGAGAAAGGAGAATGACTTCTTCGACGAAGCCAATTTCAAAAGGTTGGTCGGCTGGAATTAACTTTTTCTGTTCAAAAGAAAAAAGAAAAGAAAAGAAGAATAGAAAAAAAAAAAGAAAAGAAGAAAAGAAAAAAAAAAAGAAAGAAGAAAGGTAGGTTGGGTCATCAGAAACGAAATGTAAAGAGTTACACAAGTCATACCAGAACACCAGATGAAATTAAAGAAGAAGGGCATTAAAAAAAAAAAAAAGAAAAAGGTGGGGGAGCTAACCCAAAGAAAAAAAAAGGCCAAAAAAAACTGAGGGCCCTCCCCCCCCCCCCCCTCCTCCTCTAAGGCCCATTATGAGCTCTACTACCCGTCTCTTATACACATCTAGATGTGTATAAGAGACAGGAGGGATGGGAGCAAGAGACTCTATGGAGGAGGAAAGTCTAAGGACTTTGGAGAAGAAGCTGGAAGAGGAGTTGTGGAAAGTGGAGATAGAGAGGAGGAAGGTGGAGGGAGAGAGAGAGCAAATGGCGCTAGTTAGGGGAAGATTGGAAGAGGAAATGAGAGTAGAGCATGGAAAGAAGTCGGAGAGACTGGCTGTGGAGCGGGCCAAGATCGAAGAAGACATGGCTTTGCAAAGGAGAAGATGGGAGGAAGAGAGGAAGGTAGTGGAAATGGAGAAGCGCAAGCTGGATGCTGAAAAAAGGAGGCTTGAAGACGAGAGGGTCAGACTGTTTGAAGAGAGAGAGAGAGAGAAGCAAAGGCAGCAGCTTGAAGACAGGAGCTGGGAGAGCAGGAGACCTGACGTCCGAGGTGAAGGTGATGGCGGACCAGGGGAAGGTGGTGGGGATGGAGGAGGAGGAGGAGGAAGAGGAGAAGAAGGAGGAGGAAAGAACATAGACGGACTGCTGCAGAAGCAGCGAGCGCTGTCCATTACCAAGAGAAAGGAGAATGACTTCTTCGACGAAGCCAATTTCAAAAGGTTGGTCGGCTGGAATTAACTTTTTCTGTTCAAAAGAAAAAAGAAAAGAAAAGAAGAATAGAAAAAAAAAAAGAAAAGAAGAAAAGAAAAAAAAAAAGAAAGAAGAAAGGTAGGTTGGGTCATCAGAAACGAAATGTAAAGAGTTACACAAGTCATACCAGAACACCAGATGAAATTAAAGAAGAAGGGCATTAAAAAAAAAAAAAAGAAAAAGGTGGGGGAGCTAACCCAAAGAAAAAAGAAGGCCAAARAAAACTGAGGGCCTTCCCCCCCCCCCCCCTCCTCCYCTAAGGCCCATTATGAGCTCTACTACCCTCTGCTTGTTTTTGTTCTCATATAGCTTAAAACGACCACCCAAAATGGCCTAAATCCTCCTTTTCCCCCCGTTCCCCTGCTACCCGTTTGCGTGCTACCTTGATTGGTGAGTGCTGCGTCTGTCTCTTATACACATCTAGATGTGTATAAGAGACAGGAGCATAGCTTCTCGAGTTGAGATCTGGGACATTATTGGGAGGTGAGTTGGAGGAGAGGAGTTGAGGATCAAGAGAGATTATTATTTGGAACTGTCATACGTTGATTCTTTTTCTTTTTCTTCGTCATCTTCTTCCTTATCTCAACTCACACCTCGTCTCTGCATGGTGATAGTGGGGAGGGCTCTTCTATGTTTGGACCGCTCCCCACTGTGAGTAAGCTCAGATCTGTGTCACATTGTCATTTTGCTAGTCCGTGTCTGAGTTGAGTGTTCCACTGTGTTGCATTTTGTCTCTCCCCCATGTTCATGATCCTAGGACTTTCATGTTGTCCACGGCTCACCTGGGATGCGCATCACTCTATGTCTTGGTCTCTGTCTCTCTGTCTCAGTCTTCCTGCCTGCGTGTCTGTCTGTTTGTCCTCTGCCCATTCCTGTTCATCTGCCTACTTGTCCGTGTGTCTGTCTCTCTCTTTCCTACTGTCGGTCTGTCTTTTGGTCACTTCGACCGTCTGTCCATCTGTCCATCCGTCTGTTGGTTCATTGGTCCGTCCGTCCGTTGATCCGTTGGTCCATCCATCCGTTTGTCTAGTTGTCTGTCGGTATGTCAGTCCGTCCCTTTGTCGGTTGGTCCGTTGGTTCATCGCTCCGTTCGTCTGTCAGTCTGTCAGTCTGTGGGTTTGTCGGTCAGTCTGTCCATCTGTCCATCCGTTCGTCCGTCTGCCCGCTCATCTGTCTGTATGTCGTTCCGTCCACCCGTCCGTCCATATGTCGGTCTGTCTGTCATCCTTCTGCAGGCTGTCAGTCTCCATCCATCCGTCGTCTGTCTGTCTGTTGGTCTCTCAATGTGTGTGTGGGTGTCTGTTTCCTGTTCATCTGTCTGTATATCTGTGTGTGTGTTGGTCAGTCTCTGCATCCGTCTATGTCTGTCTGCCACTTGAGGCTGGTCCAGT